CATTTTCTAACAGAACACAATATCTTGCTCGAACGACCGACGCTTTATCCACTACAGCCATACCATCAACTATCCACATTATTGTCAAATTTAGCACACACATCGGGTTTGTCACAATCGTTGTCACTAACACACGCGTACACCACTGCCATCAAATTATTGTCGCTCCAGAACTGTGTGAGCCTCAAAAAGATCGAAGGAAGGTTGCCACACAGAAAAACACGTCATTCACCAGGATTATCCAGAGCAAACAGTACAAATGGGCACTAGCATATCTGAAGAAACCAAAAAGGTTAGTCACGCTCCTGAAATAGTACTCCAAGGTCTTTGTCTAGAAACCTTCGGACATGACAGGAGTTGATAGAGAGGTCATCGAGCATAGCTTGAATGTTATCCCGGGAAGTGTCCCCGTCAAACAAAAAAGAGGGGGGGAAACGGGTGATAGAAACAAGGTAATAAATGCAGAAGTGGCAAAGTGGAGAAGCTGGTAGACGCATGCGTTCTCCAGGAGACAACTTTCCCTACTTGGATAGAAAATCCAGTGATGGTGAAAAAACCAGAGAGATGGGGATGGATGTGTACGGCTTACTCCGACCTAAACAATGTCTGTCCAAAAGATCATTACCCTGTTCCAAATATAGAACAAAAAATTAAACCCCTTGAAAGGATTTTAGTTCAAATATTTCCTCGATGCCTACAAGGGATATCATCAAGTTCAGATGTAGAGAAAACTACTTTTCATACCGATCACGACACCTTTTGCTACCAAAAGATGTCATCCGACATTAAGAACATTAGGGAAACATATTGGCGACTGATGGACAAAGTGTTTCAAATTAGTAGAAATATTAAAGTCTATGTTGATGACATGATTATCAAAAGTTATAACGAAGCAGCATTGCTTCACGACATTGAAGAAACCTTTCAAATTTTAGAAAAGAAGCACATGAAACTCAATCTGGGTAAATGTACTTTGGGGGCGGGGGGGGGGGGGAGGAATGCCAATTCTCGGGTTATCAGATAGCCAATGAAAGAATTTTTCCAAACTAGACCAAGATACAAGAGTTCCTCGACTCTAAAACCCCTTACAATCTCAAAGTAGTACAAGAAATCAATGGAAGGTTGAAAACACTTGGTAGATTCATCACCAAGTCGGCTGAAAAAGATCTACCGCTCTTTCAAACGTTGAATGGTTGTATTGATAAGAATCAATTTAAATGGATAGTAGAGGCCGGCAAGGCCCTGCAACACCTGAAAGAAGCTTTACATCAACTACCAGCCATAATGAGCCCCCTACCAAGAGAAATTTTGCAAATATACTTGGCAGCATCCAGCAAGGCCATATCATCGGTACTAGCTGTCGAGAGGGATAAGAAACAAGTATCAATACATTTTGTAAGCAGAGCATTACAAGTTCCTGAGTTCACTATCCGATCTTAGAGAAACTGGTGCTCGCATTAATCTAAGTAGCTAGGCATCTCAGGTTCCAAACCCATAAGATTGAGGTCCTGACCAGTTACCTAGTAAAAAAAATCCTGCTGAGACTAGAGAAAGCGGGACGCCTAGAAAAATAGGCAATTGAACTAGGTGAACATGGCATAGATTATTGACCATGCATCAGCATCAAAGCTTAATCTTTGGCAGACTACCTAGTCGAAATCCCCAACACACTCAAAAGTGTCCCAACAATCATGTCGTATACCCCTTAGAAACAGAGGCTAGTCGGGACATTTAGGAACTTCATACTGATGGAGTCGCAAGCAAGGAAGGGTTTGTAGTAGGACTGATCCTCAAAAACCCCAGCGGTGATGAAATTACATATGCCTTGCAATTCAACTTTCAGGTCTCCAAGAATGAGGTCGAGTATGAAGCACTTCTAGCAAGCCTCATACTAGCCCAAGAAGTCGGAGTGAAATGCCCCGCAGCCCTCAGTGATTCTCTCCTCGCCTCCAATTAGGTTAATGGTACATACAAGGCCAACGACCAGAGAATGCAAAGATACCTAGACATAGTGTGAAAGTTTGTTGGGTTTTAGTTCAAACATAGTTTCAAAAACTCATAATACTAGAAAATGGAATTCTTAAACTTTTAAACATAATAACAATTTACAACCCACCACAAATCTTCTTTCAAGTATTAGAAAGATAAAAACACAAACCACGGAAGGAAGAAGTAACAACAACCTTTAAAGAACTTTGGGTCCTCTAGGGGAGGCTTGAGTTTTGATAAAAAAATGTGGAACCAATGAGATACCAACAATGCATTAACTTGATGAGAATGCTAGTTTTTTAAAAATATCTTAAGCTTGGAAACAAATACCTAAGTATTTGATCCAAGAGAGTGAAAGCAAGTTACAATTTCTTCAAATGTTCAAGACAAAAGAAGATAGGGAGAAGTAAAGAGAAACTCGTGCCTTTTTGCTTCCAAGAGTGAATTGAATGAAAGCCTTTCTTTAAGTATAAAGTAGCATTGGTGTCTATAAGTCCTTAACCACTTATGCACTTATCACACTAGACGACCATGTCTCCTAAGAATGCAAGCCATGCTTCATACTTTTGATTAAACAATTTGCAAGACCATGATCTCTCTCTCTATCTCTCTCTCTCTCTTACCTACATTAGTTTCGGCTTTTGAAAAAGAAAAAGAAAAGCATAGTTTAAATTTTATAAACTTAAAGTTTATAAAATATAAACTTTGTCTTTAGGTAAAAGACAAAAGATTCAACCAGTCTAAAAGGTTGTGCATGACTTATTAATTCATACCTTATGAAATAATATATTACTTGTATTGTAAAATAATTATTTCCATGAAATAAATATTTTCCCAATTTATTATAAGAGTTTATGAATATTTATTAAAATTAATTTCTAATAAATAATAAGTTGTATCAAGTTGTTGTTAGTGTGAACCTGAGTATCATATGTTAATTAGTAATATCATTCTAATATGACTCTTGAGCATATTAGATCTTTCAATCTCACACTTGCACAAGACTCATATTAGATTGATACAGACAGTTGTGAATATCTAGCAACATTTCATTGCCCCCATCAACATACGACTTTGTTCCATTCTATCAACATGCAATTCCCAAAAGCCCAAGGCTACAATTAGTGTATAAGGTTAGTTTATCAGTTATCCCTTTGCTACAGACATCATGTTGAACATGAGATATAGATTTCGGTCAATATCATATAATTTTTCAACTTTACATCAGACCTTAGATGTCTAACTCTTAATGAATAAGAGGAACAAATCCCATATTGACAACATACACCCCTCGTATGCCTTATATCATACCTGCTAATAGCTTTTATAACTGCCTGATTAAAGAACACCTTTGACTATATCAAATCACAATACTCTCCACACGTAAGACCCATATATGTATCTCATGTGTTAACGATATATAGATACTACCCTTTATAAACTATTGTTCATGACAATGATACATGAAGTGATATTGAACGAGTCAATCCAATACTTGTTCTTTATTAAGTACCTATGAAACTGCTTCCAATTCTAATTAGTATTATTTCATTATTGCTCCCACAGTAACAACACGCTATAGATTTTAGAGTGAATAAATTTCCTCAATGATTAAACATGTTAATAAAGAACTCAATAAATATTTAATGAAAATATCATATGCCATATATATCATAGTCATTTCAATATATGGTGTTAAAAATGTTATAATATTCAATACTAATATATAGATCAAATCCAATCACTAAAATAGTAAAGTCTAATTCCCTGAGCATGACCTTCAAACTTTTCTTAAGGAAGTGCCTTCGTGAAAGGGGCCGCCAAATTTTGATCGGTGTGAACTTTGCAAATATTGATTTCACTGTCTTCAACTTTATATCAAATGAAGTTCAATCTCAGGCTAATATGCCTGGTCTTCTTGTGTGATCTGGGTTCTTTTGCCAAAGATATTGCACCCTCATTGTCATAGAATACTTCTAGGGGATCTAGAATGGAAGGAACCATGGCTAAATCTCCAATGAATTTCTTCATGCGTTCAAAATCCAAAATCTCTCTATCATCATGTCTACTATTAACAAAACTGTTGATCAATTCAATACTACAGAAGATGAAATTTCAATGCCGACTATGAAAATTCAATCAAACAATGTTTGGCTTGATCTAGTGGTTGATAATTACCCTGAAGAACTGTAAATGATTGTTGTGTTTCTCATGCATTATCTATATCATTTGCTATTCTGATGTAGTGGTTGTCACTTGATGCTTCTACTTCCTTGTAAAACAAAATGGCTTAGATTGCCACGTTCCAAATGGAATCGTAGAAGAACAAGCGTCTAACAAAGAAACAATTTGCCCAAATTCATCAATTGCCATCAAAAGGGCGGTTCGAGACTCCTACAACTGAATAAATACTCGAGATGTTCAATGAGATGGGATATCAACCTCATATCACGCTTGTGTTTAGATTCAAAAAGGTGAATCTTACAGGAATTTGGATTTTCTACTTTGGGATTACAATTCAATGTTTGATTGGTCGGAGTATTGGTATAGATCATGAAAAGATTCAGTTCTTTTCATTCGTGGCAGGACTATACTATGGTATGCAAGTCAATTATGCATCATTGCTTTGTATTGAGTTTGCTTCCTCAATTTCACACTAAAAAATGACATCTGAGATCTCAAATGCTTGGTATTGGAGTCTAATTTTAAAACAAGTCTACAGTCAGGAAGGTATTCTTGTTCCTAAAGATGTCGAGGTTACCCAATTTCATCATATGTTTATTCCCAAATCTGCAATAGTTGATCCATTTATTTTTCATCCTGATGGTCGAATTCCTGATGCCATGTCCAACTTGGTATCACCCACAAATACGTTATTGGTAAACTACAAAGCATCCATGGATACTACTTTTTATGGCTCAATCCCTAAGAAGGTGACTTTTAAAGAGGGAACATCTATAGAGTCACAATACGAAAGAAGTCAAAAACGTTCCTCATAAGTCTAGGAAAAGATGTCAAAATCAAAACCTAAGACTGTTGAGAAAGAGGTTTCTGCGAAAAACGTTCCTAATAAGTCTAGGAAAAGAGGTTCAAATAAAGATACAAAAGAAGTTCCTGAGAAGTCTATAGTGAAATCTACATGTGGTAGTACTGAAAATCCAATAGAGAATGTTGCTAAGGTGGTTCCTGATCAAGAGGTTGTCCCTACAAAACCAAAAAAGATAAAGACGAAATCCAAACCATGAGGGGTTGTGGTTAACGAAGTTTCTAAAGCTGATGTTTAGGAAAAGAAGAATAGAAAAGTTGTTGGTATATTGAAATGAATTTAGAATATTAGATCTTTGAATGATAAAGAGCCATCTTCTAAAGCTCCAACACTATTACGAACAATTGAAACATATCGAGACAATGAAGCCACAAAAGATGATTTATTTAATAATGATGATGAGACTTTTTGTGTTTCACCGAGGAAGGATACCACTGTCGAATCAAATTTTGAGGAGACAAGTATTCTTGATGTTAATGTGAACGTATCTGATATAGACACAAATATCAATTTCGGTGAACAAATTATTACTTCACTCCCTGAGCAGACACAAGTCACACCAACCGAGATTCCTATTGCCGAGTCCAACATGGAGGAGGGTATAATTTCAAACATCACTAAGAACATATCTAATATGAACTCAGATGTTAACATAGGTGATGGGAGTTCGATCTCCATAACTGAAACTACACCAATTCCACCACCAACTTCAACAATCATTCCTACCTCAGTTCTTGTGGTGTCACCAACTTTTCAAAGTGTGATGAATGAAACTGTTGCATCTTTATTCTCTTTGAAATCCACTGATCCAGAGGAAACATTTAATGAAGAAGAAGATGATGGTGACAAAATGGTTGGATTTGCGTAATTGGAATTCAATCCCGAAGAAGATAAGGTTGAAGACCATGCCATCATGTTTGGTAAACAATTCAAGATCCTAATTTCTAAACTAAATTCCATCCTTCAATTCTAGAATTCTAGTGCTGGGAAATCATCTATTAGTTGGGCGGAGGTTGAATTTTTGTTAAAGTTGCAATAGTCACGAACTAAGACGTTAATTGAAGGTGTCGAAAAGAATATTGATGAAAGGTTGGCTACTCATTCTCGTACTTTCAATCATGAAATTATGAAAAGAATATTGATGAAATCATCTTTAGAACACCCCTTGGACGAATTTGTTATGGGCTTGCCATAGTATTCATCCAACCTATGTTCCAAGGTGATCCATAGCCGAATTGCAACTATCTTATAATTACAATATCAGTCCCCCAAGTTTAATTAATCTCTTTTAGCAACATAATTAATTTCTTAATTAATTCTTGTCTAATATTAATTAAACTATATGATTTCTATATTATTCATATAATATATTAATAAATCATAATTAATATCTTTCTCCACAAATTATCCTATCAAGTTGCTTTGGTGAAGGAAACCCAAAAGGACCATGCACAACCGGGTTAACTACTTACCACATATAGTTACGGATATCACACCCCCGAACCAGATGGCGGAAACGTCCGGGGGCTTGCGCGTGACTTCCTCTTGAAATATCATTACAGTGGATATAACTGAAACATAACATCATCATCATCACACTTGTAATATAACAACATTCATTGTTTACATCGAGTATTGTATTTGAATATTACATGCCAAAATAGTAAGAGTATGATGAAACAAAATATCACACAATATCCATTAGTTTGTTTCGTTCATCCTGCTTCAACGGTATCCTGAGAATACAAGTTATTTTGAAAACGGTCAACATAAAAATGTTGGTGAGTAATAAGCACGTTTGTGAAAATGATTTGTATAACTTTGAAAATCGCCAGAAAATCCGATATTTTCAGAAAACTGTTTAGTGTGTTTGTGTTAGATCTTGTATTAATGCATGTATGCTATTGTTCATTTGACTAAAAAGGTAAAGAGAATGTAGAGAATGTAGAGAATGTAAGAGCGCGTAAAGAGAATGTTCCCAGACAACCCGACGTTGCCTAAAAAAAGTGTCGATGTCTTCCGTAAACTTCATAACGTTAATTCCTCTAAGCGAGCCGTCATAACCATACTAAATAATGACAATTTCGCCTGTCTTGGCGTCGTTAGACGCAGAAGGAAAAATAGAATAAGGTTTTTGTCACCCTAGACTGGCCTAGTCTAACTGTAGCGAACAGCTCATGTGTGGGGTGTCATCCCCGTATAGATCTATACACAAATCCCCGTTCTCCCTCCAGGAGACTCTGGTTATAACTACAGGCTACGATCGTACACTTAATAGGTGCCAACCGATAAAACTCGCTAGATCCTTAATCGAATTTACGCGAAGAAAAATGTATAAACTCATTCTAGGACCAATGATCCATGTAAGTGAACCACGAAGGCGTCGCTAAACATGTAAATCATTTCAAGGCCCAAATGGAATGAGATTATATAACATGGGCCCGAAATATATATGAAACGACAACTAAGGCCCATTTCACATACAAAGTATTTACAGGCCCAAATAGCACACAAATAGTATCCAAGGTCCGTCGCACATGTTAATGGGTCAATGAGGCCCAATAAACATGTAAATAGTATACAGGACCTATCACACATAAAAATTGGTCACTAAGGCCCAATAACTTAGAAAATGATCAAATTGAATCCATTTGTTGGTTTATCATTATTTTTGGTTCAAGTATTCACTAAAATAGCATAAAAAGAAGAACGCATATACAACCCATTCCCAGGCCCAATAAACATGTAAGTGGACCACTAAGGCTCACTATACGTGTCTATTATTTCCAAGCCCAATAATGATATGTATATCATTATTAACCCGTTTGTTATTGTTTTGTTTATTTTAGCTTGACTATTTACAAAGTTGATATAAAAAGCCCTCATTTTTGTAAAAATGACGTTCTTGGCCCAATAAGCCAAAAATTTAGGATTTATGGCCCAATTTTTGTAAGAATAACACTTTAGTATCCATTTTGTTCAAAACTTGTTTTGATGACTATTTTGTAGTAAAAATAACATGTTAAAACCCATTTTTGTCAAAATTAACATTCTTGGCTTGATTTTTGTGAAAATACACATTTTCTGGTTTTTGAGCTTTTCCGACCTAGTTGTTTGAAAATTTGTAGAAAAATCATCGTAAGTCGAAATTTGGATCCGTAAACTCTCAAAGTTTATAAATTTTGACTACTTTGTTCAAAAATTTTCTCATAATTTTTAATGGCTTCTAAGAAGTGTTAAATTGCTCATCTTCACAGGCTAGTCCGAAATTATTTCAAATTTGATAGGCAGTTTTGTAAAATTCGTCAAAAATTGTAGAAAAATCGTATGAAAACGTGCGAGTAGTCATTTTAGAGGTATAAACCTGAACTTTATCCATGTAAAACAGTTTTGAAAAATACTTCCATTTGAATGGTCAAAACAGTCCGAGATTGGACCAAAACTTTTCTGTCAAATGCTGTTTTGTGAGTTTAGTTTATAGATCTCTAACCACAACACTCATTTTTGCTATATCAAGTGTATAAATCCAGTATATACTAGTTTACATGTTTTATGTTTGATAAAATATACTTCTCTCAAGATTCATATAAAGATCCAAGTAATACACTTCAAGTTTCTTAACATATTTGTAGATTAGTGAAGAAATCACACATAATCACCAAATGTTTCAAGGAAATCACACATAATCATGCATATACACATAGATCTACACAAATCAACTTGTATTCTCCCCCAAAAACAAGTAAAAACCAAAAACAAGGGGGTATGAACTCACCTTGGGGTTTGGATTTCGGCTTTGATGAACATAAGAAGAAGGTGGTGTAAGTTATGACTCTAGCTAGCTTCTTGGTGAAACTTTTGAAATGATGGTTATTCTAAGGTTAATAATCACGAAAATTGGAGAGTAAGGGAAGGATTCTTAGCATAAACTTGAATCAAAACAAAAGATTTTGTCATAAACTTACCAAGAGGATGAAATTGATGAAAACTCCTTGAATCACCCTAAGATTCACGGTTTTTGGGAGATAATTGAGAGAGTATTTTTAAGAGCATTTAGAAGAAAAGATGAAGTTTGAATGGGGAGTTGGGAGGCCGAGATTAAGAAGGAAGAGGAGAAGAGAAGAAAGAAGTGACAAGATGTTGTATTGATATATGGGATTAGCCTAGTTGCATGTGGTATAATTGCATGGAAACCCTCTATGTAAATATGAGGTGGCAACACTTAATTATCTCCTTGTTAATTCTTTTTTTTTTTTGTACTATTCTTGTTGGGCCGAGATTGGACCATGAGTGAAGGAATTGAGATAAGTTTAGGCCCTATCTTGACTTAGTTCGAAATTATGAGGCCCAATTAATATTTTTCGGCCCATTGGGCTCTTAAGGTGGTTCACGGCCCAAGATGGTACAAAGGAATGTGTTTGTGGTCCATTAAGGCTAATTAATTCGTTTATGGCCCAACAAGGCCCGTTAGAGATAACTAGTCCGTTTTTGGTCCAATAAGGGTAAAATGAATCATTTTAGGCCCATATGGACCAAAAGGTTGAGTTTTATGAATGTGGGTCCATTTAGAACCCAATTAGGGTCTTTAAGCCCAATATAGTTCAAGTTGAAGGTTTATTGGTCCATTAGGCCCGATAAAAGAATCCTAGTCCATAATGAATTTGAGCCGGGATTTCTAGGGTTTCCAACCCTTATTTGAACATATAAGATGTATTTGGAATGAGAATGGATTATAGTATTCACTTAGAGTACAAGTTATCACACTAGGTGAATGATTGCATGAGAGTAGAATTTCCTAGCAAAATGCTAGTTGTGACATCATCCCCCCCGTTAGAGGGAATTTCGTCCCGAAATTCTTTCGAAAGGTAGGTTCTTGAATGAGAGAATAGGTACTTCATCTGATCTTCGTGTTTCCCATGTGAATTTCGGTCCACGCTTAGCGTTCCATTGATCCTTCACAATCGAAATGCTGCATTGTTTTGTACGCTTTACTTCCTTATCCAATACATTGACTGGTTCTTCGATGAGCACGAGATTCTCGTTTATTTCCACCTCTTTCTAAAGGAATGATAAGAGTTTTGCCTAATAGGCACTTTTTCAAATTCGATACGTTGAACACAGGGTGTACGTTGTTGAGCTCTACAGGCAGCTGCAACCTATAAGTCTTTGGACCAATCCGAGCAAGAATCTCGAACAGTTCAATGTATCGTGGGTTTAGTTTTCTCGCTTCCTAAAGCGAATCATTCATTTCCAAGGAGGTTCTTTTAATAACACGCGATCCCCGACTTGACATCCTAATGGCTTACGCCGCTTGTTAGAATAGCTCTTCTGTCGGTCTCGCGATGCTTGGAGTCAAGCTTTGATTTGGATTATCTTCTCTGTTGTTTCGCAATTGGTTTCTGGTCTCATGAAAGTACTGGCAGGTGATCTGCATTTACGACCATAAAGAGTTTCGAAAGGAGAAATCTTGATGCTCGTGCGATAGTTGTTATTGTATGATAATTCAATCAAGGGCAACTGGGCATCCCATGAATTGTTGAATTCAAACACTCATGCTCGAAACATGACTTCGAGTGTTTGAGTGGTCCGTTCGCTTTGGCTATTGGTTTGAAGGTGGTAAGCAACACTCATATCCAGCTATGTTCCTATAGCCCTTTGGAGTAACTATCAAAGTCTTGAAGTGTCACACCCCCAAACCAAGGATAGCGGAAACGTCCGGGGGTGGAGGACTTCATGTACAGTATCACAACAACTAATATAATAGTGCTCAAAGTAAATACAACCAACATAAATATAATTGAAAAAGTTATACCAAAGTATATGTTTACATGATTCAAAATCAATTACATTATGATGACAAAAATAAAT